CAGCTGGAGGGCAGCAGCAGGACCCAGGGTGGGAACCTTAGCACCAAGCTGGACACTCACTGTCCCACAGAGGATTATTTCATACCTCCGCCGAAACGTAGCCTATGCTACTGTGAGTCTTGTCGGAAGCTTCGAGGAGATGAGACCCACAGGCGCCGAGGGGAGCCTCCCCGGGAATACGCCCTGCCCTTTGGCTGGTGCAGGTTCAACCTCAGGTATGTATGAGCCAAAGCCATACATGTTCCCTATTGCTTTTTACCCTCATAAGAGAGTCCCAGCGGGTGCATGTAAAAACTGGTAGAACTTCCTGAGTAGGGAATGACCTTGGGAAGCCAGTGACCTTTGTCCTGTCTGCTTTTGTTCTCTTAGAGTGAATCCCCATCTGGAAGCTGGGACACTAACCAAGAAGTGGCACATGGCATATCATGGGAGCAATGTGGCAGCTGTACGGAGAGTGCTGGACCGAGGGGAGCTGGGAGCAGGTACTGTAGAGCAAGCAGGGACAGGGAAGCCCTAGCTTGGGGTCCCTGGGAGGAATCACAAGGGCCATCCTGACCCACCCAGCTCTCCTTGCAGGTACTGCCTCCATCCTGAGTTGCCGGCCCTTGAAGGGAGAACCTGGGGTGGGGTTTGAGGAGCCTGGTGAGAACTGTGCACCTCCCCGGGAGGAGCAGCCCCCTCCAGTGCTGCTTTCCCCCTCCCTTCAATATGCTGGGGCTGAGACCCTAGCCTCCAAAGTGCAGTGAGTACACAAGATGGGGGGTGGCTCTGGGGTTTTCAACCTAGACGGGGTCCTAGAACCTCTTGGATCCTCATGATTTGTCTCCCATCTCATACCCTGGCTTGTTAGTTGCTCCTCCACCTGAGCCCTTTCTTCACTCATTCATTGAAGATACCACTTACCACATGCTATCTGAGTGAAGGAGAAAGGAACCTTACTCTGTTGTAACTTACCTTCTCTAGAATGTTTATACATAATGAGTCTTTAGGATTTTTAAGGGTGAAAAGTAGTATGGAAACAAAAGGAGAGTGGAGTGAAGCAGATGAGCATTGCACTTGGAGTGGGCATATTAAATAGGATGTCAGGATAGGCGTTCATTAAAAGGTGAGGTTTGAGCAAAGCTATGAGGAGGGCAGGGAAGGAGATTGCTAAGCAGTCTTTGGGAGGAAAAGCATTACAAGTAGAAAACTGCTGGAATTTAGCACTTAGTGATGAGAATACTTCCAAGGAACAGCAGGCCTGTGTGGTGAGCAGTTAGCAAGGTGGAATGGTGAGGGGGCCAAAGGCCTCACTCTTGGCTTCTACTTTTTGACAGATTCCGGGATCCCAAATCCCAGCGGACGCACCAGGCTCAGGTGGCGTTCCAGGTGTGTGTGCGTCCTGGCTCCTACACCCCTGGCCCCCCTTCTGCTGCCCTCAGAGAACCTCCTGACCCTCACTTCAGCCCAGCAGAACTTGAGTGGGTCACTAAGGAGAAGGGGGCCACACTCCTCTATGCGCTGCTGGTGCGGGTGGAATGAAGGGTGAGACACCACTACTACAAGCACAGTTGGGCCTTGGCCCTAAAGAGTGATGACTGCCATCACCTCATTCCAGTGACTCACGGCATGCACAGGTGCTGTCCTAGCAGACGCAGGACAGATTCAGAAAGGAAGTGAAGCACCTCTCCATGTCCAGGGGTCCAGCACAGCTTCCTCTAACGAGAGGGAGCTCGTGGGGAGCCCATTCCAGGCCCTGGGTCCTTCCTTCATGCACTGATTTGGGGAACACGACTCCCTGTTACTCCCCTCCCCAACATCACTTAATTTATTTCCGTTTTTGTTTCTGGTTACTGTGAATCCCAGAGGAGTCTCTCCCTGAGCCCACACGAAGCTGCTTTTTCCGGGGCCATCGGGCGGGAGTGGGGAAGGAAGGGCGGGCGGGGGAAGCTGCGGGCCCTCTGTACAGTTGTTACCGACTGATTTCTAAGGAGCCAATAAATACGGTCTCAGAGCATCCGCCTCAGCCTCTGTCTCGCGCGCCCCCAAGAGCCCGCGGTCCCAGGGCCGCCCGGTGAAATGAAGGGCTGCTGGCACGCAGCCGGAGCCTGCCCAGACCCCAGCTGCCACAACGGAGTTTGGACTCGCGGGCATCCGTCCCCGCGCGCTTCCGCATTTCCTTCCTGTCCAACCCGCAAGGCCGGTTGCCGCCTTGACTCCGGAAGGATTCGTTCGGGCCGCCGGATGTGACGCTAAGGCCAAGGCGCGCCAGAGGCCGCGGAGAGAGCATCTAGAAGGTGGGTAGGTAGGGGTCGATGCCTCGGGGGTTCGAGGGAGGGGCGGGGGCGCCGAACCATGGACCCTGTGCCGCCAGCATGCGCTGGGGCTGTGACCCGGCGGAGCTGCGTGCCCCCGAAACACGTGACCCTGTCCGAGAGCTGACCGCACCGACAGGCTTCCGCCTCGTCCCGGCTCAGTTTCCACTAAGTTCCTGCCTCCCTGCAGGCACCGTCTGAGGTCTGGCAGTCAGTGACAGAGCAGGGCGCCCGCGGTCCGAGCGCCCCCGACAGCACCATGCCCGCGCTCCTGGAACGTCCCAAGCTTTCCAACGCCATGGCCAGGGCGCTGCACCGGCACATCATGATGGAGCGGGAGCGCAAGCGGCAGGGTGAGCTGGGGCCAGAGCGATAGAACTTACGCATGGCTAAGGTGTCTCAGCTGTCCCAGGACTACTCCCACCCATGGGCTGAGCAGTGCGCCCGCAGGCGAAGCTAGAGGGAGGGAGGGAACAGCCCCCCATTAGTGTGGGAGTAGAGGCCTGGTCCAAGTTCCAGAAGCCAGAGATGGGTAGGACCTTGGAGAGCTACTGCCAAATACACAAGTGGTGGGATAATGGCGGGATATGTAAACTAATGAGTTTCACCACCCTGCCACTTCATTTTGGCTGATTTTTCCAGAGGAGGAAGAGGTGGACAAGATGATGGAACAGAAGATGAAGGAAGAACAGGAGAGAAGAAAGAAAAAGGAGATGGAAGAGAGAATGTCACTAGAGGAGACCAAGGAACAAGTAAGCTGTCCCTGATTGCTCCAAGCTCTGGCTTTTTCCCTTGGTTCTCCCTGTCTTACCTCCTTTCCCCTTCCCTTCCAGATTCTCAAGTTGCAGGAAAAGCTTTTGGCCCTACAGGAAGAGAAGCACCAACTTTTTTTGCAGCTCAAGAAAGTTTTACATGAGGAAGAAAAACGGAGGCGAAAGGAGCAGAGGTGGGATCGGAGAGCTAAAAGTAAAATTGGGATAAGGTGGATTGGGTAACAAAAGAATCAATGTTTAATGGCAAAAAGGGGGTAACTGCCCTTGGTTTTCACCTATCCTTCCTTTCACTCCAGTGACCTGACCACTTTGACATCAGCTGCATACCAGCAGAGCCTGACTGTTCACACAGGAACTCACCTCCTCAGCATGCAGGGTAAAGACTAAAGAAACCATTTGACAGAAAGTGGCTCCTCTTGGAGGTTGAGGCATCACAAAATCCCTCTCCCTTTCTAGGGAGCCCTGGAGGACATAATCGCCCAGGCACCCTCATGGCAGCTGACAGAGCTAAACAGATGTTTGGACCCCAAGTACTCACGGTGAGAAAAATGGATTTGAGCGTATAGCTCTATTTCTTCTCTTTACTGCTTCATCCCAGGCATCCTGGTCACCAGTGTTCAAGTCACAAACATAACCAAGCACTTATTGTAAGGGCAAGTAGGGCAACGATGTATACAGAAGTCCTTGAATTTGTTTTTAAGGACTTTACAATCAGTTCTCACCTTCCTCCTTAGACCCGCCACTATGTGGGCTCAGCAGCTGCTTTCCCAGGAACTCCAGAGCATGGGCAATTCCAAGGCAGCCCAGGTGGTGCTTATGGGACTGCTCAGCCCCCACCTCACTATGGACCCACACAGCCAGCCTATAGTCCTAGTCAGCAGCTCAGAGGTGAGTAATGGAAAGAGTGGGGTGGCTTTCCTGAAAGCCCACAGGTAAGGGTAGAGCAAAAGGAAATTCTAACGGGCATGCCTCCTCCCTTCCTCAGCGCCTTCAGCGTTTCCTGCAGTGCAGTACCTATCTCAGCCACAGCCACAGCCCTATGCCGTGCATGGCCACTTTCAGCCCACCCAAACAGGTGATAATATCCTAGGCAGGAACCCCTAGCTCCACAGGTCCCACCTGCCCCATCCTCTTCTTTCACACACCTCTCTTCCCCACCTAGGGTTCCTCCAGCCTGGTGGTGCCCTGTCCTTGCAAAAGCAGATGGAGCATGCTAACCAGCAGACTGGCTTCTCTGACTCAGTAAGTAAAGGGCCTTGGGAGGTTGGAGGAAGGGCTAGGCTAAGGGGAGCCCCAGTATGCTTCAGGTAACTTTGTCCTCTGCAGTCCTCCCTGCGCCCCATGCACCCCCAGGCTCTGCATCCAGCCCCTGGACTCCTTGCCTCCCCCCAGCTCCCTGTGCAGATGCAACCAGCAGGAAAGGTAAGGATGGTAACCAATATCCCAACACTGCCAAGCAAACAGGATAGGTGGCTCACACTTTTTGGTTGTCCCTTCCTCCTTCAGTGTGTGTATCAGTAGGGGTGTTAAGTGGAAGGGAGGGTATATTCACTGACAAAACCCTCCTTTCATCACCATCCAGTCAGGCTTTGCCACTACCAGCCAACCTGGCCCTCGGCTCCCCTTCATCCAACACAGCCAGAACCCGCGATTCTACCACAAGTGACCATCAAATTATGTCTTCAACCCCATCCCTCCATCCCCCATGGGTGAGGGTCTTTCTTCCCTTTATGTCCCAGGCCAATAAAATCTACCTGCCACTGCCCCTGGCTGCTGCTCTTTGTGTCACTTCCCACCCAGCTGTCTGGAATATGCCTAGGCTGCTTGGAGGGTGGGGGGGATGGCTGGTAGATTAACAAGTCTATTCTGCCTTCCAATTATTTCCAGTCAACAAACACCCATTTAACTCAAATAAGCAGCTGACTTGGGGGGCTTCATATTAAACTTGTAGTTTTATTCAGGTTTGATTTTAACAAATGTGTCGGGGAGAGAGCCCGCAGGAAAGGGTAAAGCCCATAGGGGCAGGGCCCTCCCAGATGCCTGAGGAGGGGGCAGGTCCCCTCCCCTCTACTCCTCTTCCCTCCCCGCATGAAGGGACTTGGGGAGAGATACAGGCAGGGGAGGGGGCTGGTCCCTGTTCTGTAGGGTTGGTGCTTGGATTAAAGGGCTATGGGGGAATAGGAGACCAGACCAAGGACAAGTGGGGGGTAAGGACACAAGGACCATTTGCCAGAATCCACAGCTTTCTGATTCCAAATTGAATTAAAAAAAAAAAAAAAGAAAAAAAAAAAAAACCAAACCACAAGCAGTACCCATCCTTTCTCCCCCACCAGGACTGTAGTGCAAGGGGAGAAAAGGAAGGCAGCTTCACCAAGGCCATGGCTCCCTTGCTCCTGGCCAAGGGAGCTAGGTGAAGGGCAGGGGCTCCCCGACAGATTGAGGGGGTGGGGAAAACCAAAATAAAACGTCAAATAAATTGTGTAGGAGTCGTCCAGCCAAGGGTCCAGCCACAGCAGGACCTGGCTGGGGGAGGGGCCTCTGCAGGCTTGAGGATCGCTGCTGCCACCACTGCCACCCTGAGTAAGAGAGAAACCAAGTTAAGACAGAATAATTAATACCTTCAACAAGGGTGGAGAGAACAGGACCAGGATGGAGACAGAAAGCAAGCCTGGCATGATTACAAGATCAGAAATAAATTTGATGAGAACAAAATACATAAAGGGGGACAGTGAGGGCTTCATCACTCTCACCTGGGAGCCAGTTATTTTGCCATGGCCTTGATTGCAACAGCTGCCTCCTCTGTCATGGCAGACAGCACCGTGATCTGGAGAAGAAAAAAAGGATAGTTAGGAGATACCAGAAGCTGGAGAAACAGCAAAGCTGAGCATACAAGGGAGAAGAGAACAGCATACCAGGATCTCTTCTCCACAGTCATACTTCTGCTCAATCTCCTTGCCGAGGTCACCCTCGGGCAGACGAAGGTCCTCTCGCACCTCCCCACTGTCCTGGAGCAGTGATAGGTACCCATCCTGGATGCCAATCAGCTGGGGGCAAACAGAGAAGGAAGTTGAAGACAGGCCCAGGTAGGCTGAGGATAAAGGGTCTGATGAACAATTTGGAAAAAGAGCAAAATATCAAATACCCTCTCCCTCCTCTCCCACAACTTCTGGTCAATCTGTATTTTGCACCCGTGAACCACTAACCCATCCTTATCCTGTACACCTACATACCTGGAAGTCATTCCTTTTGATGTTGGGAACATCCATATTATGAGTTGACGGGCAGATATCTTCATATTTCTTCCCAGTAAAGATGTCAATACCAACCAGGTGGACCTGTGTATATGCATCACAAAGAGAAACCCAACCAACTCTAGGACGGAGGAGATAAAGGCTCATATAGTTACTAGCTGATGAAGGAAGTCAGTCTACCTCGTCAGGGCAAAGACAAGCAAAGTTGGAAATGAACCAAGAAATACTAAAGCCAAAAACAAAAAACAAATTCTGAGGCTAAAAGACCACCACAGGTCAAGGTGGTAGAGCAGGTGTAGGGAAGTCCATTACCTTATCAAAAAACACTGACAGAGAATGCTAGGAGCCTAGGGGTATAGAAGGAATCCTTGGCAAAAGAGTTTCTGGACACCCATGTAAGGGGCTGAGAATTTTGAGAATAAGGTAGAAGGGGAAAAAAGTCTGTTAAAAGAATTGGGGAAAACAAACTTCAAGATCAAAAAGAACTACGTAGTTAGGGAGTAAGGAAACTAGAGAAAGAGCTACGCATTAGGAGGATCAATGTCAAGTCAATAAAACCACAAGAAATTCAACAAGAATGAATCAGGTTTAACTTCTGTGGAAAAAGAAAAACTCTGAGGTGACAAGGGAAGCACTAGTGAGAACACTAAGACCAGAGAAAACAGGGAGGCTCAAGGAATTCAAGGAGTGGGCATGGGCAGGTAGAGAGAAATGGAGACTGCATCAGAATTCCAAAGGGAAAGGTAGAACTGCAGAAAGAAGCGGTTTGAAAAGCAGAAGTTTGAAAATTCAAGCACACTGGAGCCTTTCAAGGGAATGCTACAGTCTGTGTTAGGACCAGAGAAATTCACCAAGCATAGTGATGTAAACAGTACCTAACAAAGGCCCAAGGAAGAAACAAAAAAAGTGAATGCCAAGACCAAGGAAGAAACAGCTGAACAGCCAGAGCATAAAGGACTGAAGAAAAGTCAAAGGACCATGAAGAAATGTCAAGAGACTGGCACAAAAATGGAGAAAAAGGACTACCAGACAATGATGGGGGTACAAAAGGAGGCTGAAGGCTGGGAGCAGGTGTAGTCTGAATGGGTATAAGGGCTGAGTGCTAAACAAAAGGACTAAGACAACAAACAAACAAACAAAAAACCCAAAAAACCCACACACAACTAAAGGCAGGCAGGGGTCAGGACTGAAGGCAGCTTGCTGCCAGAAGCCCTATGTATATATGAGGTGTGGGGAAGGCAACATGTGAAAGTCTAACCTTGGCATGGCCATGCTTGCCAGTCTTCGAAGTAGACATCTCGACGATCTTACAAGGCCGGCCTTTGAGCACCACAAAGCCATTCTTACGTAATGCTGAGCACTGCATTGGGAAGGTGGCTGAGGCCCCTGCATCTCCTGTCTCGAAGTCCAAATCATCTGCCATTTTAAGAGGCTTCGATTCCAACTAAAGCCAAGAAGAGAACTGGGGTCAGGAAAGATAGAAGTTAACAGGACCTCTAATCTATTCCATTTCTCTTTGGAAACACTGCTGTTTTCCCCAACCCCTTATTCCACTACCCACCTATAATAAAAGTCAAAGTTCTTGGACTAACTACTGACTGGGGTCAAATACACTGGAGAACTGGTGTGTGTAAGTAACGGTGGAATAGCTGGATCCTCCCCCAAATTAAAGTTCAAGTGGTACTTGGGAAAGGAAAGGTCCAGGGACTTAAGATGCCAAATCTGAGATGAGGAAAGTCCTACTTCCTGGGGTGGGGAGGACTCAGGTGTTACTTGCCACTGAAACCAACCACCCCTCTTCCCCACACTTAGCCAGAGCTATAATTAGGTGAGCAGCTATGAGCCAGCAAAAGGGTGGGGCTAATGTGTGTAGGGGGGAGGGTGGAAACCGGAGGACAAGGCCCCACCCGGCTGTTACACCCCCCCACCCCTATCCACACACAAGCCAGTCACTGGTACAGGAAACCACAAGGCCTCTTTGGGGGATTCCCGCCTCTCCAACATGCACTTGCAGTCAAGGGGGTGAAAGTAGTTTCCTAAACCATCCCCCTGCCAAACACCTCGATCTCGGTTCCCAAAGGGAACCCAGCCTCTCCTCGAAGGCCCGCCCACTTTTCCCAGGATGCATCGGTGCTGTCGACTTTTTAGGCCCGTCCTGTGCAGTCAGAAAGTGAGAGAGTAGGGGGTGGTGAATGACAATAAAATGAAAGCAAAGGGTTGGTAGTAGTGAGTAGTAAAAATCACCCTAGGCTGAGAATTAGGAACTCTAACACCAAGTTACTCCCAAAACTAGACACGAGGAAGACCACTAGTGACAAAGTGAAGACAGCAGACTTCAAGGCGCTGTCGGCACGTGCCTAGAGAGGAGGGGAACTCAAGTCCAATCACTCAAGTTTCCCAATTTCTCCAGCCTCGCAGTTCTAAGAGTGCCACTTACATCTGGCTGACCGCCTCACTTCACGTGAAGACTGGGAGAAAAGCTCCAGGCGCCCATGAGGCTGAGAAACGCTAACATATGCCTGCAGCTGGCCCTCCGGGGTGATCGAAAACTAGTCCTTAAGGTTCTCCCACTATCCAAAATTCCAGGTTCCCTCTGATGCCAGGGAGGACGAGCTCTCCCTGCGCCGGGGGTTGCAGGCTCCCGCCCACCATGTGGCCGCCCGGGGCTTCCGGTGGCCGGGACCTGGGGGGAGGGGTCCCCGCGCTGCCATGCGGACCCGGTCCACATTCGGCCATGCGGCCTCCGACCCCGAGGGCAACTTGCCATGGGGGGGCACTTCCGGTGCCGCGAGTGCCCCCCTCCCCAAACGCTGCGCCAGGCCGGCGACTCGCTGCCTCCCCTCCCCCCGCCAGCCGCCAACCCCCCCTTCACATGCGCTCTCACGGAACAGCCCCCTCCCCCACCTCACGTGGCCGCGCGGAGCCCGGTCCTCAACGACCCTGGGACCCTTGCCCCGACGGGGCTGATCTGGCCCCCGGCCCTCTCCCCGGAGCAGCCGCCTGGCGGCCTCTCCCGCGTGGCGGCCTCGCGGCTCGCCGTCCCCCGCCCTGCGTCGCTCCAACGTCACCCGGCCGGCCCCAACCGTCACCCCGCGCGCCAACCGGGCCGCGCGCCCGCGCCTCTCCATACCTCGCGCCGCTCCCCGACCAAACCCATGCGGTGGTGGCCGCCGCTCCCTTCTGCCCCCTCCCCGACCCCCGTATAGTTCCATCTCTCCTTCCCTGCTCAAGCAGAGGTTCCGCGCAGGCGCGTCCTGCCCGCTCTCACCTCGCGCGAACGCACTGACTCGACCCCGTCCGCTCGCCGCGAGCCCAACCGCTGCCTCCGAGCCCGCTACCGCCGCCGCCGCCGCCTCTACCGCCGCCGCCGCTGCTGCACACGGGTCTTAGTACGCAGGCGCCGACTCCCCACTGACCAACCAAGCAGCCCTATGACAGCCGCGCAAGCGTGCTCTCCGGCTCCTCCGCCCTCCACCCCCGCACTGCGCAAGCGCAAAGACCCTCCCCGATCTCCACCCTCTGTCCCACCTACCCATCCAATGACGCGCAGACGTGACCCCGCCCCTCACAAAACCTGAACCCCTCCAACCTGTCAGCAACGCGCAGGCGCACCCGGTTTTTTAATCCCTTCAACCTCCGCCTCCCTCCCCTAGATAAACCACCCGCCCTACCCGACTGTATTCGCGCCTGCGCAATAAGGAGCCCTGCACTCCACACCCTCTGAAGGAAACGCCTCGGTTTCAAAACGCATGCGTGTTGAGAATCTTAAACGCCCCTTCCACCTCAGACGTCGTTTGTACGCTGGGCGTTGAAAAGACCACGCCACTGTACCGCTTGCGGGGTCTAGGACGCATGCGTCTTAGGAAACGCCCCACCTCGGCTTTAACTGGACTTAAACGACCCACACGTTTCAGAAAACGCGCTGTGGGCTGGGCCCCTTGCCTCAGAGTCCTTTCTCTCAGTTCCACACATGCGCGAGAGATCGCTTTTCGCTCCACTCATTTAGCGCGATGTGTGGTCGGGTTACCACCCATTTCGGCTTCAGTTTTCATCTACGACTTTGCTGTACCATAGAGTTTCGCTGGAAAGACAGAGCGGTCCCGTTCCAGCCACCATCTTGTTTAAGCCCCGGTCTGCGTTCCTCCCTGTGGCTTCCATAGATGCAGTTCTACGCCAGATCCTAAATAAAGAGACATAGCGTTTTTCCATCTGCGATCTGCGGTTTCCAAAGAATTATCTACAATCCCCTTAGAAAAATTTTATCTGTAAAGAAGAGTGATATTTACATTGCATTGACATTCTCTAAATCATAAAAGATGACTAAGAAACTGGAAACGACCTTTCCCACTAGGAGTTTATTTCCTGTTGCTTGTCTTAGGAAAGAATGCTGCTGCTTTTCCAGAAACATTTTAGTTTTCCTCTAGTTCCTACGTTTCCCACTATGGCCTTGACTACCTTGATATGCCCGTTAGGTGGATAGCAGTACTGTCAAGCGACTAAAGATCTGATCATGGAACCCCAAACCCTGAATCTGGTTCTTGTTTGTGGCTTTTAGAAATTACTTAAAATCGTTCTGTCTTAATTTTCTTCCCGTAAAATGAGAGAAATAATGTTGTCTAAACTTCTAATTCACCAGGTTGTAAAAACCCCGTGAAATGTGTGAACTGCAAACGAATTACTACATTCGTGTAGCACATTACACTATCACCTCCAGATCTTTCCATTCAGTTTTCTGAAATTCCTGTCCTTTGCCCAAACAACAACAACAACAACAACAAACTTCTTGGGAACATTGTTTAAAACTCCAGTTCTTGCTCTTTTTAAGACGTAAGGTTCCTATGGCACAGCAGTTCCACTCCTATGCATATACCCAAAGATTTCAAAACAAACTTGGACTGGGGGAGGGGGTAGCTCAGTGATGAGAGGGTTTGCCAGCTCAAATCTTTGCATGTGACTGTTCACTGCTGCACTTTAATTACAGTATCCAAAAGGTGGAAATAACCCAAATATCCAATAGATGAATGGATAAACAAAATGCATTATACCCTTATAATGGAATATTATTCAGTCATAAAAAGGAATGGCATAACTTATAAATGCTACAGCTGGATGAACCTCAAACATGCCGAGTAAAAGTCAGCAAAAGGTCATATTTTCTATGATTTCATTGATAAAATTAATTATCCAAAATAGGTAAATTTGAAGAAGCAAAGCTGATAGGAGGTTGTCAGGTCCTGGGAGAAAAGGAGAGGAACAGCTTAAGGGACATTACTTTAGTGATGAAAATGTTTTGGAAGTAGTTGGAGGTGTTGGTTGCACAACATTATGAATGCACAAAATGCCACTGAATTGTTCACTTTAAAATGGTTGATTTTTTAGAATTGGGGTTGTAGTTCAGTGGCAGAGGGCTTGCCTGGCATGTGTAAGGCACTGGGTTCTATCCTCAACACCACATAATAATAAAGTGAAGGTATTGTATCCTTTATACAACTAAAATGTGTGTGTGTGTGTGTGTGTGTGTGTGTGTGTAGAAAATATAAGGTGATGTGGCAATCAAGGAGGCTTGAAAGCAAGGCAATGGAATTAGCTGCACCTATTAGACCATACAGCTCTAAGAGCATAGTGCATCCCGGTGAGGTAGCATACACCTGTAATCCCAGAGGCAAGGGAGGGAGGCTGAGACTGGAGAATCCCGAGTTCAAAGCCATCCTCAGCAATTTAGCAAGGCCTCCGGAACAACTCGGTGAGACCCTGTCTCTAAATAAAATACAAAAAAAGGTCTGGGGATGTGGTTCAGTGGTTAAGTGCCCCTGAGTTCAATCCCCGGTACCAAAAAAACAGCATAGTTCATTTGCCTTCAGGGTAAAAAAGTCCTGTCTGTCTTCCTTTCCAGAAGAATTTGAACTATTAATAATCCTGGATTAGGACTTCCCTTAAAACTATAGGAGAATCTCTCTTGGACCTTCTTTTCTAATTTACATGCTCAGCATTCTTCCGTTCACATGAAAGTTTCTTTCTTGAGAACTTGTTCAAAAAACAATTGATTGGATTATGACTAACTTTTATAATTTAAAATGTTTTTACATATTTTTACTGTTGAATTATAACTATACATAATGGTGGGATTCATCCTTACATATCTGTACATGCACACAGATTCTAATTTATTTTAATGACATTCATACCCCTTTTCTATCTTGTGACACACCTATTCACCAGATTAGAATTTAGAGATTCTTTAAAAGTTTCCAGCTACCCTTCAATAGATTTTCAATGGCTTTGCATGACATACTAGCAATAGAGTTCATTCATTACTTCCTCATTTCCTTTCTGAAAAGGTAACATTTACAGAATACCCATATTTTGCTAGAAAGAGGTCTGCCAACAGTCTACTTCTGTTTGGTTAGACTGCTCTGGTAGACTTTTAGAAACTTCAATTTTTTTGTTGGGGGGTACTGAGGATTGATTGAACTCAGCAGCACTCAACCACTGAGCCATATCCCCAGCCCTATTTTGTGTTTTATTTAGAGACAGGGTCTCACCGAGTTGCTTAGCACCTCCCCATTGCGGAAGCTGGCTTTGAACTCACAATCCTCCTGTCTCAGCCTCTCGAGCTGCTGGGATTACAAGGCATGTATCATGGTTCCTGGAAGAAATTTCATATTTTGATTGATATATTTTTTTCACTCTGCTGGGGATTGAACCCAGGGTCTCATGCAAAACTAGGCAAGTACTCTGTCACTAAGGTACATTCCCAGCCCAATTCTGAAATAATTTTAGATTTACAGAAAAGTTACAGTAGGATAAAGAGTTCTTTCGGAAGCACCATTGAAAAGTTTGAATGGGAACCAGTAGTGTGGTAAAGGCTGGTTGTATAAGCTATAATAAAAAATAAGAACCAATTGTGCACATCTCTTACCAACTCCATGTTCAATAATGTTTAATTAGTAGCTTGAAATTAGCCATGGTGGAAGTGTTTGCACCCACAGAAATTGGCAAGTGCTACGAATCAGTTTCCTTTATCAGAACTGGTTGTTAAACATTTAGCAGGCCACCACTGATTGGGTCCACTGAAAGGGAAGGGCAGATCTGATATATACAAAATAGAGTTAGGTCAGGATAGTCCATAAATGGAGTAAGAGACCAGATACAAGAAAGCTCTGAGAAAGCAGTCATGAAAGTTCAGGTATCTATCAAGAAATGAGGTTCTCGGGGCTGGGGATGTGGCTCCAGCTGTAGTGCACTCACCTGGCATGCGTGCGGCCTGGGTTGGATCCTCAGCACCACATACCAACAAAGATGTTGTGTCCGCCAAAAAAATAATAAATAAATAAATATTAAAATTCTCTCTCTCGTGCTCTCTCTCTCTATTTTTTTATTTTTTTTTTTTAGAGACACACACAGAGAGAGAGAGAGAGAGAGAGAGAGGGAGAGAGAGAATTTTTTAATATTTATTTTTCAGTTCTCGGCGGACACAACATCTTTGTATGTGGTGCTGAGGATCGAACCCGGGGCCGCACGCATGCCAGGAGAGCGTGCTACCGCTTGAGCCACATCCCCAGCCCTCTCTCTCTCTCTTGAAAGAAAGAAAGAAAAAGAAAGAAAGAAAGAAAGAAAGAAAGAAAGAAAGA